CTGGGAATTAAACTGGAAATTAATGGATTCCCAGTGCCAAGGGCAGGGATGAGTGGGATCTTGGGAAGGAATTGTTCCCTAGGAGGGTGGGCAGGCCCTGGCACAGGGTGCCCAGAGCAGATTATTTTATTAGTAGTAAAAAATAATTAGTTAAATTAATATAATATAATAAATATATAAATATATGAAATAAATACATTAAATAAATATATTAAATAGATAAAATATATTTTATATTATATATTTTATATTTTATATATAAATATATAAATATATACATAAATATATAAAATATATTAAATATATATAAATATGTAAAATATATAAAAACATAAAATACATAAATATATAAAATATATAAAAATATAAAAATACATAAATATGTAAAATACATATAATATAAATATAAATGTATATAAAATGTATAAAATAAATAGATAAAATATATATTTTAAATATAAATATATAAAATAAAATATATAAATATATAACATATAAAATATATTTATATATGAAATATATAAATATATAAACAATATAAATATAAATAATATAAATATTAATAAATGTAATAAAACAGACATACGTACTAAAATAATAAATAATAATTAATTGAAAAATTTATATATTAAAATTTTATATTTATATATAGAAATTATAAGAAATATAGATAAAATATATAAAATATAAAAATATTTTTATATATATTTTATTTTTATAAAATATTTCAAAAATATCTAAAATATATAAATATATTTTATATATTATATATATATAAATATATATATATTTATATTTTTTATATATAAAATTTATAAAAACATAGGAATATAGAATCCCAGACTGGTTTGGGTTGGGAGAGACCTTAAAGCCCATCCAGCGCCACCCTTGCTGTGTCACCTCCCACCATCCCACCCAGCCTGGCTTGTGAAGGTGACATTTACCTGCCATTGCAGGTGACATTTACCTGTCATTGCAGGTGACATTTACCTGTCATTGCAGGGTGACATTTACCTGTCATTGCAGGTGACATTTACCTGCCAGCCCAGGGTGACATTTACCTGCCAGCCCAGGGTGACATTTACCTGTCATTGCAGGTGACATTTACCTGCCATTGCAGGGTGACATTTACCTGCCATTGCAGGTGACATTTACCTGCCATTGCAGTGTGACATTTACCTGCCATTGCAGGTGACATTTACCTGCCAGCTCGGTGTGACATTTACCTGTCATTGCAGGTGACATTTACCTGTCATTGCAGGGTGACATTTACCTGCCATTGCAGGGTGACATTTACCTGTCATTGCAGGTGACATTTACCTGCCATTGCAGGGTGACATTTACCTGCCAGCTCGGTGTGACATTTACCTGCCAGCTGAGGGTGACATTTACCTGTCATTGCAGGTGACATTTACCTGCCAGCTCTGGGTGACATTTACCTGTCATTGCAGGGTGACATTTACCTGCCAGCTCAGGGTGACATTTACCTGCCAGCTCAGGGTGACATTTACCTGCCATTGCAGGGTGACATTTACCTGCCATTGCAGGGTGACATTTACCTGTCATTGCAGGTGACATTTACCTGCCATTGCAGGGTGACATTTACCTGCCAGCTGAGGGTGACATTTACCTGTCATTGCAGGGTGACATTTACCTGCCATTGCAGGTGACATTTACCTGTCATTGCAGGTGACATTTACCTGCCAGCTCAGGGTGACATTTACCTGCCATTGCAGGTGACATTTACCTGTCATTGCAGTGTGACATTTACCTGCCAGCCCAGGGTGACATTTACCTGCCAGCCCAGGGTGACAGTTACCTGTCATTGCAGGTGACATTTACCTGCCAGCACGGTGGAGAGCCGGCTCGGGGGCAGTTTCCTCCAGGCGTTCCGGGGCTGCAGGTGCGGATCCCTCCAGGGCTCGGCCCATTCCAGCAGGTACCCCCCGACGGGCAGGGTGGGGGTGACAGGGGGACTCCAGGTCACCAGGATGCTGCTGTTGCCCAGGGCAACGCTGGACACTTGCTGGGGAGGGGGCAGATCTTCCAGGGGACAACAAAACCCACCCAGGTATCACGACCCGCAGCCGAGCGCCGCCATCCCCGCCTGGGTTGTGCCACGGGGGGTAAAAATTAATTGGAATTACACAGAAGGGAGGGAGAGGGGGCTGCTGTCGGGAACATCACATTCCCATCTTTTCTCATGGATTGGGCACCCACAGCACGGCTCAGCTGTGCCATCCCAAACCCCCTGCCCCGATGGGAGCACCAGGAATGATGTGGGGCTGCTGTGGTGATCCCAGAGGAACTACAGGGATATTCCAAGGGCTGGGAGAGCTGGGCCCAGACACTGGAAAGAGCCAGAGGGAAAAGCGGATCCAAAGATCCACAGGGAGGAGCGCAGAGGGCAGAACCCTGAGCGGGAAGCGGAGCAGGATCCCGGGAATGCCGGGGCAGCGGGAGCCTTACCCGGGCTGCCCGGCAGGATGAGGATGGCTGCAGGACGGGAGCTGCCCCGGGGACCCTGGGCAGTCACTGTCACCCTGAGGGCCACCCTGGGGGTCACCCTGGAGAAGCTGGTCTGGCTGGTCCGGTGGGATTGTGCCGGGAGCTTCCCCTGGCCCAGGGCTTCCAAGGTCACCGTGTATCCCAGGATTCTCCCTCCTGCCTCTGACCTGCTCAGGGCCTGCGGGGAAAGCACAGCTGTCACCTGGGAATGCTAGAGAGGGGCTTGGGGTGAGGGATGGAGGCACAGGACACAGGGAATGGCTTCCCAAAGGGCAGGGCTGGATGGGATCTTGGGCAGGAATTGTTCCCTGGCAGGGTGGGCAGGCCCTGGGATGGAATTCCCAGAGCAGCTGGGGCTGTCCCTGGATCCCTGGCAGTGCCCAAGGCCAGGCTGGATGGGTTTGGAGCAGCCTGGGACAGTGGGAGCTGTCCCTGCCATGGCTGGGCTGGAATTTAAGGTCCATCCCAACCCAAACCATTCCAGGATTTATTTTTCCCACTCAATTCCAGTTTAGTGAAGCTCTTTTGCTGTCAGATGCTGATTTTTCCAGCAGCAGCACAGCTGGGGAGAGCAAAACCCCTCCTGCCCTGCAGCTGAATTCACAAGGGAGGGAAAAAGAGATTATCAGCTGCTCACCTGGATCTGTCAAAATGAGCAGGTTTTGCTTGGGAGGAAAAACCCGGATTTTACTTAAAACCAGAATTAAAGAATTATTTAAATTGAAGCACTCAGAGCACACATCTCTGCCAGTCTGTGGAACACCACACCCTGCTTTAACTCCCCTCTGGGTGCAGTTGGACTCCCAGTTTCAGTTTCCTGCTGTTTCTGTGACATTAATCCATTTGTTTGGCTGATTTTTGTCATAACAAAACAAAGCACGAAGCACAAACCAAAATGTTTGCAGCGCTGGAAACATGCTGAAATTAAATTTTCAACCCTTTTCTGGGTATTTGTCAGAGAGTAAGAGCACAGCCTTGGGAGGAAGTGATCCTGAGTCTCAGTCTGGCTGTGAAACCTCTAAAGGCAGTTTATTACTCTGTTTCATGAATGATGCTGCAGGAAGTCACTCCTGATAAAGAAAATGCTGCAAGATAAAGGTCCTCAAGTTAAAGCCACAACATCTGGGCTCACAGAATCTCATGAGAATTTCTGCTTTCACTTGCATGGTGCCTGGTGGTGTGTGCTGGGGGGAGAGCACAGTGAATTTTTTTACCTAATTCTGGTGGGTTTTAAACCAAATTCTGTCTGGAATGTTCCCTGTGGGGCCCCAGCCCCCAGCTCTGCCCACCAGACCCCAAAAACGCTGTGGACCCTGGATCCCTGGCAGTGCCCAAGGCCAGGCTGGATGGGTTTGGAGCAGCCTGGGACAGTGGGAGCTGTCCTTGCCATGGAATGAGATGACATTCAAGATCCCTCCCAATCCAAAGAGTTCTGGCATTCCATGAAATTGTAGGTAGAAAAGTGATGATGGATCTCCTTGTTCCATGGAGCCCTTGTTCCATGTCCCTGGGAACTGCTGAAACCCTTGTGCCTCTCCCAGGGTTCAGTCCTTGCTGCAATCCTAAAAATCAGAATTGCTCCTTTCACCTGGCTCTGCTTTCCCCTCTCACCTGGCTGGGTTTTGCTGGGGTTTCACCAAACTCACCTTCCAAAAAAGGGAGAGGTTCTGGTGCCCAGGGCCCAGGTCCTGCTGCCGGTACCAGACATCCAGGATCCCAGCTGGCACTGCAGGGGAAGGAAAAGCAGAGCAGTGGGCATGGCTGGGGCATAAAACCAACAAATGAAACAACAGGGAGGTAAAACCCCTGAGAAAAAACTCAAATTGAAACTTTAAACTGTCCCTGAAATGCTGCAGGGTGTGATAATCCATGTCTGCTGTGGTTTGGCTGCTTTGAGGACGGGATCACGAGGAGAACAAAGCCACAAAGCCAAGGAGAGGAGTTTGGATCTGCTGGGGGCTTCATCCTGACCTCAGCAATCCCAATGGCTCCCAAGGACACCCACACATCAGTGCACAGCATTAACTCCTGCCTTTGCATAAATCTGAGGCTTGTGAAGGTCCTTGGGCTTGGCTCCATCAATCCCAGATCTGGATGAGGGCGTCTGTGGGATGTGTTGGATTTTCCTGTCAGGTTCTGGGCACTAAAGGCCTTTAACAGCTCCTCTGAGGCAGCTGAAACCCCTGGTGCCTCCCACAGCTCTGACTGGAAACTCTCGCTGTTTTAAAGAAACCTCCCCAAATGACATTAAAGGGAAGATCTGGCTGGAAATCCAGAATCAGAGATGAATATATCAGGAAAGCTGAGGTGACAGAGCTTGGCTCCTCAAGGCCGCTGACCAGCATCAACTGATTAAACTAAATTAGCGTTTGCTAATTATTAACAGCAGGGGGCAGCTGATGGGACAGCAGGGCTGGAGCAAAGACACAAAACCCTTCACATCAGCGATGCTGGGAGCACTTTGTCCTGCACTGACTGCAGAGAGTGACTGGAACACAAACAAGAAGCAGCAGCAGGAACAAAGCCAGAGCATCGAGTGTGAGCTCAAAGCAGCAAAATTCAAATGTGGGATTGCACCTGCTGCCCTCCAGCCTGGATTTGAGAGAAGCCCGTGAACAAGGTAAGATTTTTGGCAGTTCACAGGAAAAGGAATTTCTCCCTGAACAGGTTTGATTGGAGACAATTTGTGGAGGATTTCAGCTCCTGCAAGGCAGAGTGGGGATGATGAACACAGAGCTCCTCGGTCAGCTGAAAACCCTCTGGGGCTGGTGATGGCCACAAATCCAGGGAGAAAACTGTGGAGAGAGAGGTGAGGGAGGGAGGGAGGTGTTCACACCTCCCATCAATGAATGCAGAAAGTGCTGCTGTCGCTGGGAAATGGGCTGATCAGAACAGCACCAGCCCCACAGGCTCCCAGGAATTCACAAAAATTCAAAAAAAAAGCAGCCCAGGCCAAGCAGAGAATCACAGAATTAGTAGGGTTTTTAGCCACCTTAAAAATCATCTCATTCCAACCCCCAAATCCTTCAGCTGCTCTCAGTGAACTCTGGAAATTCCTGTTTCGAGAGAAACACCAACAGCTTCCCCGTTTGTTCACTAAAAAATTGCAATTTTCTTACAGAAACCTCTCTCAGATCTAGGGTCGGCACAAAACAAGGCAGCAGCACTTTGAGCCTGCTGAGCTGGAGTTTCCCGTGGGATGCAGAGCTGGGTTTAGGGCAGGAGGGTTCATTCCTTACCTGCTGCTGGAGTTTGGCTCTGGGTGCTGCTCCAGTCACTCCACAGCCCCCGGCCAGGCAGGATCCTGCAGCTCACCTGGAACTCGTAGGCTGTGTCAGGCTCCAGCCCCTGGAGATGATATTTCTCCCTGCTGAAGATTTCCACCTTTGGTGGGGATGAGGGAATTGATACGAATTCAGGAGAAACCCTGATCGGGGAATGATGTGAGGAATCATCAGGCCTGCAGGGCTTCAGCTGAGAAATCCCTCATTTCTGAGGGATTTGCTCAGCTCCCAGCAAAACCTTCCTTTTGCTACCTAAAGCAAATAAAACTTCACGGAATTGTGGAATGGTTTGGGTGGGAAAGAACTTAAATCCCATCCAGAGCCACCCCAGCCATGGGACAGCTCCCACTGTCCCAGGCTGCTCCAAACCCATCCAGCCTGGCCTTGGGCACTGCCAGGGATCCAGGGACAGCCACAGCTGCTCTGGGAATTCTATCCCAGGGCCTCCCCACCCTCCCAGCCAGGAATTCCTTCCCAAAATCCCATCTAAATCCTCCCTTTTTCAACTCACAGCCATTCCCTGTGTCCTGTCCCTCCATCCCTTGTCCCCAGCCCCTCTCCAGCTCTCCTGGAGCCCCTTCAGGCTCTGAGCCCTCCCCAGATTTTTTTTCCTTCTCCAGCAGGTCCAGAATTGCCTCATTCCCGAAGGGAATTACCGTGCTCCAGGTGCTGCTGCTGAGGGGGCGATACCTCAGCCTGTAGTGCTGTGCTTGTGCCTCATGGTGCCAGGAAAGGCTGCAGCTGGTGGCAGAAGAATCATCAAATTCCACCAAAAAGTCAGGAGGATGTGGCTTCACTGGCACCAAAACACAGAAACAAGCAGGGCTCAGAGAGGCAGCACAGCCCAGAACGGGGGGTTAGGTGGAAAATAGGATTATTGGTTTAGGCTGGATGATTTTTCCAAGAGGTTTAATGTTTTTCCAAGAGGTCCTGAATATTTTCAGGTTTTCCCCGAGGTCTGGGGCTGACTGGGAGGTGAGGAGTGGTGCTTTACCTATGTCTACCAACATGAAGGTGAGTGGCTGGGAAGAGGCATCTCCTAATTGATTGGAGGCAGAAACCACCACGGTGTAATTG